CCTTTCAGAACTGCCCCACTGTTTCGGCCAGTGTAATTTTATATTTTCTCATTTTAATCACAGATTCAGGTTGCGGAAAACATACCTAGGTCTATTTTATCTTTTAGATAAAATAACGGTTGGGCAGTTCTTCCTTTCACTCTCTCTGACCACCTAATTTCGGATTGTTTCGCTAAACTTTCTGCAGACGTGTAAGCAGTGACTTCTTTTTTTACACTTTGTTAATGGGGTGCGTCACAGCAAATCCTACAACAGGGGTGACTAGGGCTAGAGTGAATCTGCTACAATACTTGCACTAAGCTAGGATAAAAGGTATACCAATATCAGAATAAAAGCGAAACGTCTTCTTAACCTTAGCGTCCAGTTGAGTCGATTAGGCAGGAGTAGCCTGCTTGGAAGGCAGACAGAGCACCATCTTGTCGTAAACGATTTCCTGTTTTGGAAAAAAGGAGAAGACAATATAGCCGCAGTTTTCAATATGAATAAAAGGATCCATAATACTGTTGCTTATTGCATTTCGCACAGATTGTTGTCAGATGAGGATTTGACAAATTTTGTTCGTCCTCCATTTCACTGAGGTTAGTGGAGCACTTTACTCATTCCACAGGGCCTTTGTAAACAGCGGGTAAAATTCTAGAAGCCTATATCTTGGTGGCCATTAACAACTTGCAAGTTCTATGAACCTAGTTGGAGCTTGTCTCACAAAAAGCCGAATTTGAGGGATTATTCGATCTGAAATATTCTTGAATTTGACAAAAGGAATTCTAGTTTAAACTTAGATCATTAGTATTGCCCCTCATCCTTCAGCTCTCCAATTAGCGTCTGCAGCTTGACTCGCAATTTTATAATAGGCAGCAATTCCTCAACTATTCTATCTGCCAGGTTTAGAAGTCTCTCCATCAACCTCTTCATATATAAAAAAACATAGAACATTGTGTATATAACGTAACGCAACATAAATATGTAAATTGTGAGGAGGGTGAAGTCAATGATGGGGCAGTGGCATGCACCATCATCGGAGGTCAGGCTACATCAATGACCTGACCGCCAGTAAGCCATTTTCTGTTATATCATATTCATACCATAGAGATCCACACACCAACAGACAAAATGTGGATATACAAGAGAAGCTTGTAATAACCATATTACCAACAAGCTCTGGAATGCTCGGATAAATTCCGAGAAGCAGCAGCAGTGTCCAGAACGTATCGGGGCCTTCGTCAATCGGGATCCACAGTCCCGAATCTTCTGGTCACTGCTGCATTGCTTCTGGGGATCGGGCATTCCACAGTTTCTTGGTATTATCCATGCATAATTGGAAGTCAGGAAAACATCGTGTTACTGATGTTATACTGACACCGAAAGAATGATCAATCTAACCAATGACCTTTGGCTCGATATAACGATAGGGACCGCATTTTTGTTCTATGCAGAACACTTCTTATTAGACCCCATGAACTGGGGAGAAGGGGGGGGGGGGGCTTGTTCGAGGTCAGAATGTTCTACACGCGGAACATTCTACGCCCATTATTCCAGAAGCCCACACGTGTACATAAGGGGCTCCGCGTGGCGATCTGCAGTCAGTCTCGCCTCAGCGTTCGACTCTGCTGTTTCGCCGACTTCGACGCCCGCGACGCTCTGTTATTATCTTTTGTACCCTTTTAGTTTTGGCACAAGTTCGCCACATTAAACGTTTATTTCTTCCTGTTTATTTATTGGTTTTTGGCCACCACCCGTGACAGCATTTAGGTGGCCATATAAATGATTTGTTGGTTCAGTTGTTTTGCTCGTAGGTGAGCCTTGGTTTGACATTTCTACGTCGTGGTTCTCTAAATATCTAGGAACGGATAAGTGAATTGTCCAAAACCTCTTATTTCTGCATATTCATTAGTGTGGACAACCATGTACGTAACGCGTTACTAGTCACAATTTACATCTACCTAGTTACTTTTTGGTGTGGGGTAATGCATTTAGTTACCTTTTTTTTTCAGAAAAGGAATAGTAACGTACTTACTTACTTTTAAGGTCAAGTAACGAGTTGCGGAATTTCGTTACTTTTGAGGAGTAACGTTTACAACAACGTTCAAACAGCCATGTTTTCAGTTCTAACCTGAGTATGCGTCTATTGGGATGAAGGCTTATAGAGCAAGTTTTATCGATGAACACGCCCTGTCAAACTCTACAGCTGGAATGTCCTTCACCCAGCGAGCACAATAAGATACGTTGGTTGAACCTTTCTAAAATCGTGTAACAGACCTTATGTAAACCCGGAGGTTGCCAACACTGTTAGGTACAGATCCCAATGTCAACTTGGAACTTTAGAACCAAAAGAAAAAAGAGGGAGCGAAATCTCAGATTCACCAGTCCTTCCTGAAGCACACCACGGCCGTTCCTTCAAACGCGTCAGTTAGAACGACTCTTCAGCGTCGCCGGACATGTATTCTCAGGGAAGCGTGGAAACATAACCGATGAAAGCTTCGAGAGACAGCTGCTGCTTAAGTGCAACGACTACTGAAAGGAAAACAGTAAACTATGGAACAAAAGCAGTTGTGCATTTAGCCGTCAAAATAGCGAGAAAAGTAACTTGTTGCTTTTGATGTAAAGTAACCCGTTCTTTTTGAGAATAGGTAACGAGTCAAGTATTAATAGTTACTTTTTGAGCTATTAACAAAAAAAGGTATCTATTTACTTTTTTGGGGGTAACGTGAACATGTCTGGGTGTGGAATGTAGGAAGCGTCGAACTGGATTCTTCCTCCGCCGTTAACGTATCATCGTATAAATTCACAATTAGGTATGGAAAAAATCTTGGCTTCTGATTCGATTCCCCGGCGGACGAACCGAAACTGAATCTAAGGAACAAAAAAAAAGAAAAGAAACAGCGACGTGATAATCTTAAGAAAAAACGCGCTTCACTTAAAAAAGAAAAAAGGTCTACTATAGCAGTAAAGGAGGAACTTAAAGAAATAAAAAGAAATATCTAAGTATCACGCAAAAGTAAGACAAAAAAGACGATGAAAAAGGTGAGAACTAATTTACGGCAATAAAAACTCACAAAAAGCAGGCTCTGATTAAGTTTGCATAATCGGGCCCGTAATTATCCATCTCACTCGCCGTTGCCCTGGTTTTCGTAAAAGTGAAAGAGAAAGAAACGAAGTGGGGGGGGGGGGGGAGGGGGGGGGGGAGAAGAAGGAAGCGAGGCGGAATTTATTACGACCGCTGCTGCCCTGTGGCGACACACCGCCCTGGCGACAGTTGTGAATACTAACGACGCGTCGCTTGTGCAACACGTTTGTTTCCCCCACTCGCGCCAAGTTCAAGAAAGACAGTGGGCAG